GCTTTCCAGAACCTGCTAATCTGTAGTGAACAGTTTCACATGAGTTTGGCAGAGGCAGTAGAAAACACATGGGAGTCTTTACTACAGATTAGTAAGTAAGTCCCTGCGCTCCTTGCCGACTAGGTGTCTGAGGCTCGGCACACTGCGGCACCCACCCAGGGGCTGGGGCTCAGATGTGGGGCCTCAAAGGGTTCTGGGCCAGGTCTTGTTAGCGGGGAGACTATCTCTGGAAGAACACTTAAGAAAGAGGGCGTGCAAAAAGGTGCGGGGTAGAAATTAGGACAAGAGACCTGAAGTCTACACGTATGGGTTAACCCCCCCAAACCCATACCTGTTGAGCCCACTTTGAGCTCCCCACTGGACAGAGTACGGCTACCGCCTAGGGCCTCCAAGTTTGCCATTTTTACGGAAATCCGACTGCCCCATTTTTCTCCTTCTGAGAAGGCTGGTGGGTTTGAACTGCCAACCCTATAATTAGCCGCTGAGTCCTTAACCTCTGTGCCACTGAGGCAAAAGCAGGGGCCTTGCGATTCTGGACAATTCTCCGTTGGGCAAGGCCACGCCGAGACAGTGGGTTTGGAGAGAGGCCTTCTCACCTGCTGCCCAGGAGCTGTGGGTGCCCCCACGGCCATGCCCTCTCAGAGTCTGTACCACCTCCCGGCCGCCGGCACTGGCATTCGATGTTCCCAGGAGTTTCTCTGGAAGCATTTTCCCGGGAGCTTTTTGCCTGGCTGGGGCACAGAAACCTCAGAAGTAGGCTTCCACCAGTAGGATGAGATGGAGTTGATGGATCAAGGCGCCAGCACCCTCCTCCCCACAGGGTAGCTTGACTCTGAGGTTCTGTGCTCTCTGCTGCCTCTCAGAGGTCCCCAGAGGGATTGCGCCCCTGTTTCCCTCCGTGGGAACTGCTTTCCTATCACATCCTGCACTGGCAGTTTTCCTTGGTCTCCCTTGCACCCTGCCCTGCTGGTTCAGCCTGGGCGCGCCTTTCTCAGAAGGAACTTGTACTCCAGTCTCGGGGCCTCTTTCTGGGAGTAGGAGATGAGCGGAGAAGCAACGTCAACTCTAACTGGGCTTTGCTCCTTCCCTACTCAGGAAACTTCGAGAAAGGAGTCCCCTATAAGATCACAGTGACCGCAGTCTCTCCTGGGGGAGTGGCTCCCGCCCCCTCAATCTGGGGGTTCATAGAAGAACTAGGTAAGAGGGGAGGGGGCTGAAGGATGGAGGGTCCTGGAAGCTCCGCACGTCTCACCCAGTGACTTTCTCCCCAGCACCCCTCGTAGGTCCAAAGCTCTGGCGACTCCAGGATGCCCCCGCAGGGATCCCCACCATAGCATGGGGAGAGATCCCAAGGCACCAAGTTCAGGGTCACCTCACCCATTACACTTTGTGTGTTGAGGATGAAACCGATGTCTCCTTCTGCATGAACGGTAAGCTTCCCTGCCTTGCCTCTGCGACCCTGTAAGACCCACCCCATCAGGCGCTCCCACCTTTTATCCCCAGAGGGGACCTTGGGCCCCCCTCAGCTCCTGGGTGAGTAGGTGATGCCATGGACTCCCCTGAAGCAATATATTGCCCCATGGAGGGCACTGGAACAATGGGGGCAAGAAGGCTTTGAAATACCTGCTCTCTGTCTTAAGTTAAGGACCAGAGCAATTTTTTTCCCCCTGAAAAGAGAGTAAGTTTGGGAACCTATGCCCTGGAGGATAATAACCACCCCAGCCCTCAGTGTAATGCACTTTCATTTGGCCATTACGATGAGGACTTGAGATCTATATTTATTGACATTGAAAGACGGCTGTCCTGTTTGATTAAGGGAAAGTGATAGAAAGGATTACAGAATTCCATGGGGTGGTTTCATTGAATACTTATTTATTTTCTAAAACAAGCTAGCAAAGCATTGGCAAATGAGAAAAGATGCCCCCCCCCACAGGCCCACCCCCATCTCCAATGTCAATAGGGCTCATCCATAGGATCACAAATGCTTTTTATTTTACTTTGTTCATACCTTTGAGTCTAAGCTTTTAGCCCTGGTGGTGTGTGGTTACGCACTGGACTACGATCCACAAGGTGCCGGTTCAAAACCGCTCAGTGGGAGAAAAACGGGGCTTTCTCCTCCTGGAAACTGTTACCGTCTCAGACACGATGCCTTGACCCGATGGCAGCGAATTTGGACTTTGGTCTCTGAAGGAACCCTGGTGGCGCTGTGATTATGGGTTGAGCTGCTAACGTTGAGGCCAGCAGTTCAAAACTACCCGCCACTCTGTGGGAGAAAAAGGAGGCTTTCTACTCCTGTCAAGAGTTACAGTCTCAGAAACCCACAGAGGCAGTTTTACCCCGTCCTATGGGGTCACCATGGGAGGGGCCCTGGTGGTGTAGTGGCCAAGCCTTGGGCTGCAATCTGCGTGATCTGATCGGCAGCTCTGTGGGAGAATGGCTGGGCTTGGTATTCTGGAAACCCCGCAGGGGGTCACTCTAAGTCCGTATGAACTTGATGGCCGTGAGTTTGTTTTTCGCTTTTTTATAGGGTTGCCATGAGTCAGAATGGACTTGATGTGACAATAACTTTGGTCCCTTTGGACGTGAGGGGTGGGGTGGGAGAGGGAGCAGGAGGCTGGCTTCAACAAGTCCGTGGAAACATTCTATCCTCTTTCCATTAGATTTTTCCACGAACTTTTTGAAGCCATCCTGTACATCTGAGTTTTGGTTTGTTTCTTAAGGGTGACAGGCTTTCCTTTTTCCCATACAACTGGTTGGTTGGTTGGTCTACGGATGACTTCTGGAGGGCTGTTTGGGTTTGAGGTTTGACGGTTCCCCAAGGACAACCGTCTAAAGCAGAGGTTTCCAAACTGCGGTGGCCCACTGCCCCCTCTGCAGAAAAAAAGAACGGTTCCTCAGTGTTTGTCCCGTAGCCCATACACCAGGATAAAGGGGCGGCCATCCACTTTCGCAGCCCCTCCAGATCCTTCCAGCACCCCACCCCCAGGGGGGGTCATGGTGGAGAAACACTGATCTAAGGGGTCCTCTGGCCTCACCGACGCCCAGTCTGTCTGGATTCTTCCAGAACTTGCAGGTCAGCTTCATAGTGATTCCCTTTCCTGAGAGGCCCTTACAAAACAAGCACACAGCATCTCCTGGCTTATCCTTCGGACCTGTGCCCAAGGGCCAGTTGCCTTGGAGTTGACTTGGACTTAGGGCAATCTTCCATGTGCTTGTGCAGAACTGTCTCTCCGGGTTCCCGTGACTGGATCCTTTGGCAATGGGTCCCCAGGCCTTTGCTCCGCAGAGGTACCTCTGGCTGGACTGTAACCTCGACCCTTTCGGGGGTGAAGGGGTTGCCATTTGATTTTATTGTTTATTTGGTTGGTTTTATATTTTCTATTAAATTTACTGTTTTCAAAAAGTTTTATGGGCATCTACTTCACCAGTCAGACAATCTGATCATTTCATTATCTTTCGATTGGCATAGTCATGGCCACAATCGATTTCAGAACATCTTCTTCTCAAACTTGTGGTTGTTAGCTCAGCTGCCCATTGCACGCCCCCCTCCCCCTCCCCATCCGCCCCTGTCATGCCTCTGGGTAATTTTCAATCCAGTGACTACCTCTATGGATCTACCGATCCTGAGTTCCATATGCAGAAAGTGATGCACAGCACAAACAGGAAACAAACAAGCAAATCAACACAGCAACGGCTAGACAAAACAGAAACTCAAGAAAAAAGAAAACAGAAGATGTTAAAAACCGAAACAACTGTAAAGTGGGTTAAAAAACAAAAATATCAAAATGTACTGCTGTTGAGTCCATGCCGGCGCAGCACAACCCCTGGTGGGTTTCCGAGACTGTAACTGTTTCCTGGAGTAGAAAGCATCCTGGTCTTTCTCCCAAGGAGCGGCTGGTGGTTTTAAACTGCCCACCATGCAGATCTCGGCCACATGTAACCACTACGCCACCAGGGCTCCTTTAAAATGGGTCAAAAAGGAGGCTACAAGATAAGTATTACAAAAAAAAAAAAGATAAGTATTACATTTTAACCTAACTACATCTGCCATAATCAACTGCTTTGAAAGCAAGGCTATTTGCATCCCTGGTCATTGGTTAGAGGGTACTGACTAGAAGCTTAATCCATGTAGGGACCCTGCAAATGGATTTGGGGCTTCTACCGTCATCCATAGCCTTCTGCAAACCGAGTGTTTGCAACTTAAGCTCTGATTCCATTTTGATTTTATGATTTATAGTCGTTGGGTCACACAGGTTGCTGTGCTTCTTCCATGTGAATTTAGTTGACACCTTACTACTTAGATGTCTGCTATTTTTGATAGCCAGGCACCATCTAGTTTCTTCACCACACTTTTCTGTAGCACCCCTATCTTCAGTGGTCTTTTTATGAAGGTGAGCAGGACCGTGTCATGAGAATGAATTGTTCTTAGATTGGGGCTAGAATTAAGTGTGATCCCCAAATCCATTCATATAACTGTGGCTTATCCATGTCTTGGGTTCCCTTAGGAGACATCATCAGCATTTTATGGGAGAGAACATTAACAATCCTCCAAAGGGGGATTAAAAGGGGGTGGGGCTCAGGGAAGGCCTGGATGAGGAGGAGACGTTTTCTTCACAAAGACTTCGAGGAGGCAGGGAAAGAGCCAGGTGGATATAGGGGACAGAGGGTTGCAGGTGGAGGGAACAGCGTATACAAAGTCCCTGAGGTGCGACTTTACCCACCTCCTCAACCACTCTGGTGTACCCTTCAGTGAGTGCTGGCACCCAGAATGCCACCCTGCCGAACCTTCCCTGGGGTCCCTGCAAGCTGTGGATGACTGCGTCCACCAGGGCGGGACAGGGTCCACCTGGTCCCAGCATCCAGCTGCATCTACCAGGTAGGGGGCTGAGAGTGGGGCTCCTGCAAGGAGGGGGCCTGCTCCATTTAAGGCGGGTGGTGGTGGGGAAGTCTAGAATCGTTACCTGGGATTCAAGTGGGCACTCTTTCAATAGAGGGCATGGTTGACCATGCTTTGGGAAATTCTTCTTCTCTTTAGTACTGCTGTGTACAAGGGGGGAGGGGGAGGGGGCTTCAAAATTTCCCTGGGAAAAATATCCATGATCTGTTCACCCTATTAGTCCATGAACTTTGTAGAGGCCCCTTATATTTCCAGGCAATGGCTGTCTTTCACCGGACCCCCAATCCTTGACCCTTGGGTCACCTTGCTCAGTCACAAGCCCTCCCTACTTACAACCCCCCCACCTAAGCCCTGTCTCACTCAGAAGCCTTACCTTCTCATCCAACACCGCCCCGCCCCCCCTTGGTCTCCATAGATAACACCGTAAAGTGGAAAGTTCTGCGATGTGTCCTACTGCTGCTGGGTGTGCTCCTGGTGGGCCTGGCCCTGGCCATCTCTTGCCGGTGAGGCTCTCGGGCACATGCACCTCTTCCTGGCTGGGGAGGGCAGCTGGGCATGAGCCAAGCTTGGGCGAGGGGAGGCATGAGAGCAACTAGCATGCTCCTGGACCATGTGACCTGGACCTGGCTATCTAGTCACCTGGCCCCCAGCCCTGACTCACCCCTGCTTGGCAGGTGTGTCCACCTTTGGCACAAAGTGCTGCCGCGCTGGGTCTGGGAGAAGGTTCCAGACCCTGCCAACAGCCATTCTGGCCTGCCCCATATTGAGGTAAGCAGGAACGCAGGGCGGGCAGGACCCACTGGGGGCTTGGGAGGCAGGTTCTGGGGAGGCTGGGAAGGAAGGGGCAAGAGGCTGGATCTCATGCTCACCCCCTTCCTAGGAGGGGTTCCAGGCCCAGCCTTCCTCAGACATGCCCATCCTGGAGGTGCAGGAAATGGAGCCACCGCCAGGCTTGGAGGCCCCCCAGCCCCCCACTGCGCCTGACTCGGGGTATGAGAAACACTTCCTGCCCACTCCCGAGGAATTGGGCCTTCTGGGACCCTCCAGAACTCAGGTACAAGCCTGACCCTACCCCCTGGCTGGGGATGCAGGCCGCGGCACAAGGGTGCTCGCCTGCGCCCTAGAACAGTGCTATGGACAGATGAAGACATGGAGGCTCAGAGAGGGCCCCTTCAAGCCCAGCCAAACAGGACAAGCTGGGAATTGAAGGACTTCCCCTACCACCCTGCACCAAGAAAGGTGGGCCCGACTAGGGGCTTCGCAGCCAATGTCTGCAACGAAGAACACCCGCTGCCTCCCAGTCTGTCCTGTAACCTAACCAGACCCGCTGCCGACCAGGCAGCTGGGACTCACAGCGACCGGGCCGGATAGGGTCGAATGTCCCTGTGGGATTCCCAGAGCGTAACATTGGATGGGAGCAGAGAGGTTCACCTTTCTCCTCCCGGAGCTTCTAGTGGCTTCGGACGGCTGACCCTGCTCGATGCGTAGCCCACCACGCCAGCAGATGCCAGCCTCCCTAGGTGCTCTGTGCCCCCTCACTTCCTGCCCCAGTATGGTGGGCCTGAAAACCCTGGAGGGGATGAGGGGTCGTTTGCCACATAGCTGTGCCTCCCATCCAGCTTCCCGCCTGCCCAAGGAGAGGGTGGGACAGAAGCGGGAAGGTACCTGTCTCTGAATGACCACGCGGACCAGAACCACCTGGAGAAATAAACCTCTATGGTTTTGTAACCCCTGCGGCTTGAGGTCTTCTTGTTACACCAGCTAAACCCATTACTCTGAGTCACACTCCTGACCTCCCTGCAAGACGGGTGGGTGGGGGTTGGCTCTGTGTTAGCAACATGCCCACCGACAAATGCTGCGAGCCATCCGGGTGGTTGAACGTTTTATTTTCAAGTATAAAGGCTTTGTTGCAGAAGGCGGCCAGGGGCACAGGCGGCAGGCCAGGGGGTCCGGAAACCCAGGTGGAGGTGGAGGGGCCAGGGCCAAGTCCCGCGGTGCCCTGTCTGTGCCGGGGACCCTCTGCTGGTTGCCAAGAGGCCGAGGTAGCTGAGAGAGGAGCTGGGTGAGGCGGGCTGCGGCCTCACATAACCGCACAGCACTGGCACGTCTTTTGCTTAGAGCCAGCCGCCTCTTCCCCCTCGGTGGGGGCAGGTGGCTCAGGCTGCCGGGCCGGGGCATAGGTGGGCGCGGGGTGGGCCGTGGTGGTGGTGGTGGTGGTGGTGGTGTTGGCGCTGGGCCCCTCCACCGGAAGCAGAGGCTGGCGCTCGGAGGGCTGCTCCGAGGGGGTGGTCTCAGCCTGGAGGGGCGTGGCATCTGCCGCAGGGCCCTGGTCCTCAGCGGAGGTTTGGGGGTTTGCTGCTTCCTCCTCTGGGGGGCCTTCCTGCTTTTCCCCGGGCTGCAGCTCTTCCTTGGCCTCCTGGGGAGCACCTGCCTCACCCACCTCCTCTGCCTCGGGTGCCTTGGCGCCCTCGGACGCTGCTGACTCTTCTGCGTTCAGACCTTCCTCAGCCCCCTGGGTCTTCTCTGCCTCCAGTGGGGCTTCACCTCTTTGCCCCACCTCCTCACCCCCTTTGCCCTCTTCCTCTCGTGCATCCCCACCCGCTGAGGTTTGCTGGACTTCCCCTGGTTCCTCCACTCTCTGCTCAGCCCCCGGCTGCACCTCCCCTCCTGCCTTCTTGTCTTCCAGGGCCTCCTCTTCCTTCTCCTCGGCCCCTGGCTGTTCCTCACCACTTTCTTCTGCTCTCGGCGATCCTCCAGCTTCTGCGATCTCCCCTTCCCGTGCGTCCTCAGCTCTCTTCTTGGCCCCTGGCTGCTCCTCCCTTCCTGCTTCCTCTGTCTTCGGAGACCCCTCAGCTCCGCTCCTTTCTGTTCCTGCCTCTCCCTCATCCCCTTGTTGCTCTACTCCGGGGGATTCCTCAGCTCCGTCCCTCTCAGCTCCCGGCTCCTCTAACCCCTGGGGCTCTTCGGCTCTCCTCCTCTCCACTTCCCAGGTCTCCTCACTGCCTCCCTTCTCTGATCCCAGCAGACCCCCATCTCCTGCCTGCCTGCCCACGGGCCCCTCCAGGCCCTCCACCAGAAGCTCCTCCCACTCCTCACTGAGGGCCACTCTCTCCACCCAGATGAAAGACCCCTCCTCCCCTCCAGAGCCCCCCTGCCCGTTGCCCTCGGGGCTGCCCCTACAAGCCTCTGACCCTTTTCTAGAAACTGTTTCCGGAAGCTGCTCCTGGAGCCTTGGTGCGGCCTCCTGGCCTGAGCCTCCCGCCCCTGTGTGCTCTGAGTTGCTGCCTTCCATGCCCCCTACCCCTTCCCAGACCACCTCCACAATCTCCCTGTCCTCCTTCACCCACAACGGGAGCTCTGGGCTGCCGGCCACCTGCCTGTCCCCAATGGCCGCCAGCACTACCTCCTCCACCTTTGCCTCCAGCTCTGGGCCGGTGGCCCCTGCAGCACAGTCCTCTGTGGCTCTCAGCCCCTCCCACACCACCTCCACTACACCACCTCCTTTGGCTTCATCCACCCCCCTCTCAGCCACTGCTGCTCCTTCCAAAGGAGGGCTGGGCCCAGGGCAGGGGCCATTGGCTTCTGAAGAGGGGCCCGTCACCCCAGGGGCCTGCCTCAAGGCAGCCTCCTCGCTGGGCTCGGAAGGGGACTCCGGGGACATGCCGGCCAGTGAAGGTGGCAAGGAGGCTCTCTTATCTGCATCTGCCGCATCTGAGCAGTCAGAGAGGGAAGGAGAGGAGAGAGAGGGGCTCGGGGTGAGCAGGGACCCAGGAGTCCCCAGTTTCAGTCCATTTGGGCCACCCGTTCTGAGGACGACCTGACTTTGGACACCCACCTGCTGGATCTGCCTCCAGAGCTGGCTGGGAGAGAGGACGGTGACCCTGCAGGGAAGGCAGAGACAAGGGACAAGGTCAGGCTCAGCGCCCCCATCCCCCGGCTCCCTGTGTGCCTGTGCCCACCCTGCTCTAACAGCCTTGTTGGCTCCCCAGTGCCTGGCTTCTTGCCCTTGATCTCACGCCCACTGGGTGCTCTTAATCAATACTGGGTCCCTTCCCTTATTCCCTGTGTGTTGGGGACCTACTTTGTCAGATATCGGGGTTACCTCCAGCCAGGAGGATGGAAGTCCTGTGCTCGTGGCACTGACATTGTGGATGGGGATAGGACAGCGAGGTATAGGACAGGGGGGTGGGGTGCCTCCTTTAGGGTTAAGTACTGATTGGTAAACTGCTCTGCAGAAGGTGAGATGAGCCAGCCGAGTCAAGAGGTGAGGAAGGGCGTTCTAGGCAGAGGCCAGAATGAGCTGAGCCTTTTCAAAGAAAAGAGGGTCAGTGTGTGGCTGGAGGGAGAGGGGGAGAGGTTGGCATGCACTAAGAGAGGGGCACAGGGGCCACCAGGCAGGGTGCCAGGCCAGCTCCCGGCTCTTTGCTGGGTCTCTGGCCTATGCTCACTCATTCTCCAGCCCCCAGGCCTCTGCACTGGGTCTCCCTCTGCTCGGAACACCCTTCTGCCTTTTGCCTGGTTCCCATTTAGAGTCAGCTTTAATGTCACCACCTCCAGGAAGTCTTCCTGAAATGCCCCCCCCCCCACCTCACTATGGTGCTCCTCCCACTGTAGCCCGAGTTCCCAGGGCTGGGGGCATGCTTAAGCACATGCAACAATGAGCGCCTGGCTCATACTCACATCCAACAGGCAGTGGCTGTGCCCCCCCCCCCAAACAAACCAAACCTATTGCCACATCAAGTCAGTGCCAATTCACACCGACCCTATAGCACAGCGGGTCTCAACCTGTGGGTCACGACCCCCTTTGGAGGTCGAACAACCCTTTCACAGGGGTCGCCCAATTCATAACAGTAGCAAAATGACAATGATGAAGTAGCAATGAAAATAATGTTATGGTTGGGGGGGGGGGGTCACCACCACACGAGGAACTGTCTGAAAGGGTCGCGGCCTGAGGAAGGTTGAGAACCACTGCCCTAGGACAAGGGAGAACTGCCCTTATGGGTTCCTGAGACTCTAAGTCTTTACAGGAGGAGAAAGCCTTGCATTTTTGCCAAAAAGCAGGTGGTGGTTTTGAACCACTGACCTTGTAGTTAGCAGCCCACTGAGTAACCACTGTGTCACCAGGGCTCCTGTCTGACAGGCACGGGGAGGTGAGACACTAGAGACTGTGGAAGTCAGACTCTGGCAGGCAGCACCCTGAATCTCAAAAGCCTAGTTGCCATATGAGGGGAATGAGTACTCTCTATAGGTGCTGTTCCCCCCCACCAAAATGAAAAAAGATAAAAACACACACATCCCAAGGGGAGAGTGACTGGTGGTGACCCTCTCCCTCCTCTAAAGCTGAGTCCTAGGACCTCTCACCCGGACCTTCTGCCTAACTGCTCATCTGAGCCATATGCAACCGAACAACCAAGCTCCCAGCCACTAAACTGACCCCTCCTCATAGCTCCCCTCTCCTCTGTTGGGTTTCCGAGGCTGTACAATCTTTAGGTGTGCACCCAGTCTCCTCTTCCTCCTGAGAAGCAGCTGGTGGGTTTGAACCTTAGACCCTGAGGTTAAATAGCCTAAGCTAAATGCATTGCACCACCAGGTGTGCCTGGTGCCTGGTTCCTCAACCCATGGTAGCTACCTTTCTCTGAATGTCCCCATATGCTGTTACAGGTAGAAGGTTAGGAGCCTTGCGACAGGACCCCTCCTCCCGCCCCCACCCCCACCCCACCCCCCTAGCAACTCTTGGTGGTGGACGCTGTCACCATTCCCACTTAAGACAGGAGACACTGAGATTCTTGCCTGGGAAGCCGTTTGCCCCAGGTCCCAGAGCCAAGGGCAGCAGAGGGTCAATTTGAAATCAGATCTGGCAGCCAAGTTGCGCTTGAAGGGGGGCCCACCTTTGGTTGTGTTGACTGCCCCTGCTCTCAAGCTCCACTCTTGGTGGCTCATCACCCCCTTAGGCCTCCCCGATGGAACAGAGACCCATCACCCCTCACCTGTCTGCGCCAGGAAGGCTTGCGCTGGGCACCTGTGGACGCACTCTGCAGCAGCTGCAGCTGGGACTGGAGTCTGGGAAAGAGAGGAGACTCCTGGGAAAGAGCCAGGCCTCCTGGCCCAATTTGCTACCTCCCTGGGGGTGGGGGCGGGTGTCCCAGGTTCTGGCAGTGCGGGGTGGGGCAGGGTCAGCAGGCAGGGTCCTACTCACGTGAACAAGCTGTCTTCCAGGTTTTGGATACGGGCCTGGGCCTGGCCCTCAGGCGATTGGGAATCCTGCGAGGCAGGGTCCTTGGGCCGGTCTTGTTCTTCCGCCGCCCCATCCATCAGCCAGCGCTCCCGGAGTGACTTCCTCTGGGCGGGGGAAGATGTGGGACTGGTCATGGGGCTTCCCCACCCCACTCAGGGTCCTACCAGGGCCGAATGCTTATTGTCTCAGAGCCTCTCAGATGGGACAGACATGCCACCACCCCCCACAGCCATCTCCAAGGAGACACGCCCTATCACCTCAAGGTCATAGCCCCCCCCCCATTGTACAGATACCCCATCACCCTCACAGCCCTCCCTGATGGGACAGATACCCATCACCCCAAGATCATAGTCCTCCCGGATGGGACAGATATCCCATGACTCCAAGACTACAGTCCTGCTTGATTAAATAGATACCCCACTATCATAAAGCCACAGCCCTCCCCTATGGGAAAGAACCCCATCACCCCATTGTCCTTGCAGATGGAACAGATACTCATCACCCGCGGTCACAGTCACCCTAATGGGACAGATACCCCATTACCCCACAGTCCTCCCCGTTGGGACAGATCCTCATCACCCCAAGGCCGCAGCCCCCTCATGGGACAGACATAACCTATCACCCCATATTCCCCACTGAAGGAATGGCTATCCACCCCATCGGAGCCATAGCCTTCCCCAATGGGACAGGTACCCCAAACCCCTTCAGCCCCGCCCAGATGGAACAGATACCATCACTCCAGAGCCACAGTTCCCCTAATGGGACAGTCACCCAAAAACCCCACAGACACCTCATTAACTCCACAGCCCTCCCATCTGAGGCAGGCATCCCATAAGCCCTACATCCAGCGGAGCGGCCAACTATCACCTCAGGGCCACAGTCCCAGATACTCATCACCCTGTCATCCCCCTGATGATGGAACACCCCCCCCC